GGCTGGCACCGTAGACTACCGAATGGAGTGGCTCACAGACAAAGTCTTCTTTCCAAATAAGGCAGAAGAGCACCTGTTTGTCCACACTCTCCTCTTACCTTCTTCCCCAGTTGAAAAACAAGTGAAGACAGTGTGTCCATGGCTGTGGAGCGCAGTTCTGGGCTCTGGTCCAGTGTTCGAACAATAGGGTGAATGATCCGGGAGGCATAGTCAGTGAAATCCAGGGACTCCGTCAGACGGTCCACGGTCTCCAGCGCTGCCCTACAACAATCGCTAACATACAGTAACTGCTAACACACAATCTCCAAGGAAGACACGTGGCTGAGGGTGATCTTAACAGTCAGCATTGAAGGGATGGGAATGAATGGCTTCTAAGGTATTTTGGATGACATGGATCCAACATATATTCCAGTGGGATAGGACAGTTAAGATTTCCATAAACCTGGGACATTTCTTTTCTTTTGAGACAGAGTTTTGCTCTCGTTGCCCAGGCTGGAGTGCAATGGTGCGATCTCAACTCACTGCAACCTCCGCCTCCTGGGTTGATTCTCCAGCTTCAGCCTCCCGAGTAGCTGGGATTACAGGCATGGGCAACCATGCTCAGCTAATTTTTATACTTTTAGTGGAGACAGGGTTTTTCCATGTTGGTCAGGCTGGTCTTGAACTCCCGACCTCAGGTAATCTGCCTGCCTCAGCCTCCCAAAGGGCTGGGATTACAGGCATGAGCCACCGCGCCCGGCCAAACCTGGGACATTTCTACACTAAAATAATGAGAGTTGAAACAACAACAAAATATAAAGATGGCCTGGGAACTTAAGAAACGAACATTTTCAACAAAACATTAAAAGTTTAATGATTGCTAGTCCCAAAGAGGAGGTGCTCACTTTCGAGATGGCAGGGGAGCTTCAGGGGCATCAAACAACTTCACAATAGGAGGCAGCAGCAAATGCAGGTAGTCATCCAGGTTGGCACCAAACAGCTGGATTGCAGCCAATAACTGCAAAAGGGAACAAAAGCATGGTGATCAACAGTCAGCTCCCAAGTATCTAAGGACATGGAACGGGTGGTGGTGTGGATAATTCAAAGTTCTGTGGCGACTGGGAAAAGCATTTATTAAATGGCCTTGGACTATAACCTTTTGGGTAGCACTTTCTCCCCCTCATTTTATTTGCTTACATATTACTTTGCTTTCTCTGTGCTCATTTGAGTTGATAAGGAGCCCATTTGCTGGATAATAAAGAAAATTGGTCTGGGATAAAATATCTGCCAAGATTAATCCATTAGAAGAGATATGAAACATAAGGATAATCAAGAGAAGATTACAGACATTCTGTAAACTGCACACATTGAGTATTAGTATTCTTGGGATTCTGTCTTATGAAGTGGGCGTCAGCCTGTCACTCAGAACAAGGTCTCAGCTTTGAGCTGAACACCCAAGGACTCTGAGGGAAACAGAAAATCTCTCTGGAGAATGACGTAGGCTACTCACCTTGATCGAGACGATGCGGCCTGGGCTGTTGTCATGCATGAAGACACGCAGCATGTGCGGGATCAGCTGGGGCAGATACAGCTTAAATTCACCCCCAAGAGCTACCACAATTTGCTCAATGAGAAGAATGATCGTGCTCTGAATTGAGGTGTTCATGACCCAGAATTCCTACAAAGAGAAGAAAGTCAGAGGAGCTGAGTCAGGTCCCCTTCTGCTAATATATGAACCAAGGAATACAAATGGCCAGAAAAGCAAAACTGTAGTGAGCATGGTCTGCTCCGAGATCAACTCCTCCCTCCCCTCCTCCCACTGGGCCCTTCTTGCATCCTATGTTGCAGCCATACTGGACAAACTCGACTGCATTTCCCCAGATGCACCAGATGCACCAGGCTACCTCAGTCCTCTGGGCTCTGCTCATGCTGCTTCCTCTGCCTGGAATCCTACTTCTTGCTCAGTTAGGTCCTATCTGTCTTTCTGGACCTGGTTCAAGCCTCACTTCTCCCATGCAGACTTTCTTGTTCTCTTTCCACGATCCACTTGGGTCCTTTACACTCTCTTTGCTGGCAGCTGTAATACTTCCTTTGCTTTGCCATCCTCCTTCTGGACTGTAGGCTACTTAAGGACAAGAAACCTCTAACTCATCTCTGTATCCCCAGAATCTATCAATCAGACCATCTGGAATGTTCTGGAATGAACAGATGACTAAGTCACTCTAACAGCTCTGAAGTGGTTCAGGGTGGACCTGGACCTTACTTTGGTATCATCTGATCTCTACCAGGGGGTGACTCCAGTATTACAAAAATTTCCTGGCTTTTCTGGATTTAGATTTTGCTCTTAATAGATAGCACCTAACATCTGTCCCCTCCCAAAAATCTATCCATCAGGCCTGAATGGTGCTACAAAATGAGTACCTTTCTACACCCATATGGTTATTTTCCACCTAAGTTACTAAAATAAAACCCTAGCCAACTGGCCACAGATCCTGCCTTAGCGCTACAAAGCAAATTAGTCCAGGCCTCTAACTCTGGGAAAAGCTATCATTTCAAATCAACTCAAAAAGACAGCTGCCTACCACTATCTTTAAAATTTCTGGAGTCAAGAGATTTAATAACAGAAATCCTACTAATGACGGCAACACGTGAATAGTAATATCCTTGGAGCCTCTAAACAGTTCAAAGTAGAAGTCCATAAAAAGAATAACTCCTCAGATGAAAGGCTTTATAGAAAGATACAGTATTTTTATTTAAAAAGATATCTTAAAAAGCATAATGGCTGTAGAAGATGGTGATAAAACTTCTTTTTCCTCTACTTGGAGATAAGTATTCTCTTTGAAAAAGCTGTCTTTTCTAGGTTAAAAGTGTTGCCAAAGAAACACCACAGATTTTACAGCCTCCAGAGTCTGATGTTCATTTACTTGAACCCCACTCTGCCTTCTTTAGAGAAGGCCTACCTACCTCCCAGCTGCATCATCAGCTCCTCACAGGGGCTTCTCTACCTCAAAGATGCCAGGAAGCCTGTCAAGGGACGTCAGCTGGATCACTGTTCACAAAGACTATTTTCTTCCCAGGCTCAGGAGAGCTCATTAAAATGCCCAGAATCAACAGTCAAAGGAAGAGCCCCTGCTGCACCTTCTCTAGCTGGGATGAAATGAAAGCTGCATTTTGCAGGTGTAAGGCTCCCTGCCTCAAATCCCTGTGTACTGGTCATAAACCTGTTGATTTTAATATGGTCATATCGTGTCCTTGTTTAGCCTTTTTGGGAGGATTAAGTCACAGATGACTTCATCCTTCTCCCATGAGGACACTGCTTCTTCCCTTGCTCCTCCTCTCCCTAAGACCAGCCATCGGCCTTTTTAGTATTCTGCCTAAATCTTCCTGGTACAGAGGCTTCTGTGGTAGCACTCAGGGAATAGAGGAGCTTTTAATTATTTATACATGTGGGAGGTTTTCAGTTCTGAGACCCAGGTGCTGGGAAGTTCCATCTGAAGCCAGCCATTTTGATTTTAGTCCTGCTGCTTCCTCAAAACTAACTACAGAGGTCTGGTGTGAAAGAACAGAAATCATCTTCCCACCCTTTGAGGACATGCTGTCCCTGCAAAGCAACCTTCTCTGCAAAGACATTTAAATTATATAGAACAGTAGGAAAAACGATATTGCCAATGGGTGTCTTCTGGCACCTACTGAATGCATGTTATAGAATCCTGGGGTCTGAGCCTTTTCTCATGTGCCACTGCAGTCAAAAGGTGATATGTATGGTTTTGAAGGTAGCAGGTTAAAGCATCACCTTGTTCCTTGGTGCCCAACCCATGTCCATCATATTTAACAGCCCTAAGAAAACCCAATGCCCAATCCCTTCGTGGTTTATGAGCAGTAAGGAAGAGGGCTTTTGTGAGAATAGAAAAGCACTGTTGTGATATTAAAGTGAAATTGCTTTGTTGTGTGTGAGGCAAATAACCCAAGAGTCTATTTCTGGCAGAACAATTAAGGATTTCTCTTCAACCGTCATGCGTTGCACTTTTGTACCTGAGAACCTGGATACACAGCCCTTCCTCCCCCTCAAAATCCAGTGGGCTTTGTTCCACCTCCTGGAATGGGGCTGTAACAGCTCTACAAAGATCCATGAAAAAAACGTCTATATCATCCAAACTTGCTTCTGAGCCTTCCTTGATCCAAACACGGAAGAGGCCAAAGCATTAACTCACTCTCATGAGGGTGACTATTTCATCCATATAAGGTCTGATGTGGCTCTTCACAAAGGACACCAACATTCCCAGCTGCTGGAACAAAAACTGAAATGGACAAGAGTCAAGCAGTTGGTATCATGAAGGACACTGAATCCCCAGGCTTACCTTAAGTTCATGTGAGCAAATAAAGATAACTATGGAATGGGTTTCCACACTACACCATCTATTGATAATATATTTCAAAGACTCAAACTTGGCTAGGTTTGAAGGTCCAGTGCTTTTGAAGGCCGAGGTGGGAGGATTGCTTGAGGCTAAGAGTTCAAGAACAGCCTGGGCAACATAGTGAGATCCTGTCTCTACAAAAAAACACAAAAAATTAGCTGGGCACTTGCCTGTAGTTCTAGCTACTCTGGAGGCTAAGGTAGGAAAAATGCCTGAGCCCAGGAGTTCGAGGCTTAGTCAGCTATGCGTGTGCCACTACACTCCACCTTTGGTGACAGAGTGAGACCCTGTCTCTTTAAAAAAAAAAAAAAAAAGACTCAAACTTAAATGGTGATGGTGATGAGGACTCAAAACAACTGTCAGGGGCTTTTATACACCAGACGAGCCAGTTACTGCGTAGCAGGGGTGTTGTAACCCTCACTTAACCTCCCGGTGTCCAGGTTCTTCCATTTTAGTACTTATCTCATAGACTTGTTGTGAGGCTTAAATGGGATAATTCATGTCAAGCACTACAACAGGGACATGAATACTATTCAGTGCATATAATGAATGTCTGTATCACTGAAGGATCTCTGGAGTCACTAAACGTAAAAATAAACCTGAAAGTTTTAACCAACTATAAATATACCTTTTGTTTATTTGGCTCTAATTAATTACTACTTACTTCCTAAAATAAATACAGCTAACTCTTGATTATGGGCATTGTAGCTCATTTACAGTAATTAACTCATTACTTAGGTCTTAATTAATTGTGTCTCTGAGAGTTTATGAACCAAAACAGCAAGCAAATTGGGGTAGGGATAGAATGAGGAGATTCTACTTAAGCTGGTACCTTTTAGGTGAAAGAAGAAAAAAATGTCCACTAAATAAAGCTGGGAATAAGGAAGGTGTGGGTAGAGAAAATCTCAACTACTTTCCAGGTTAAAGATTTGTCTTCAAGATGTAGGTTTTATTTTGTTATGATCTAGTATTACATGATATAAGACAGTATTACATGTAATAAGTAGCAAATAACATTTGAAACTTCTCTCCCCCAAATTTTTATAGCTGTCTCTGCCTTTGTTCCTCACCATTAACAAGGATAATTTGGAAAATGAATATATATATTTTCACTCTTATCCACATGAAAGTTAGGTGAGTGGGGGATAAATAAAAAGCACTGCTTCAAAAAAAAAAAAAAAGTGTTATTTCAAACAGTAAGTAATGAAGTTAAGAGTACTCATTACCCAAAGAGGCAAGATCAGTAGGACATTCAGGATTGGGGTCAAAGAAGAATTTGGATACACTCCCTAATGATGACTTTGACTTCTAAGGTGGTTACGTCACCAAATGGCACATGTTTGACTAAGTAGAGTCATTTCTACCTATCTCTTGGTCCCCACCATCCCCCAAATTGAATCACTACAGATGTTTTTTTTGTTTTTTTTGAGATGGAGTTTTTGCTCGTTGCCCAGGCTGGAGTGCAATAATGCGATCTTGGTTCACCACAACCTCTGCCTACTGGATTCAAGTGAGTCTCTTGCTTCAGTCTCCTGAGTAGCTGGGATTACAGGCATGTGCCACCACGCCCAGCTAATTTTGTATTTTTAGTAGAGATGGGGTTTCTCCATGTTGGCCAAGCTGTTCTCAAACTCCTGACCTCATGATCCACCCGCCTCAGCCTCCCAAAGTGCTGGGGTTACAGGCGTGAGCCACCGCGTCAGGCCCACAGACAGTTTTTGTAAAATGATCCCTATACAAACAAATATGTCATTACAGAGATAAAAGAACATGAGACTAAATATAAAGTTCAGATAAATTTTTGTTATGCAAAGCCTGAAAGAAAGCAGAAAACCTAAGCTGAAGGAAAACAGGCCAACAGAGATGGTGGGGAGGTCAGAGAAAACCATGAGACAGAAAGAGGAAACAAGCTTCCTGGTCCTTGGTGCACAGTTAGGGAACACATCAGTGGCTTATTCTTAAGGAGTAGCTGCCCAAGGGACACCGACAGGTAAGTGCCTCGATGCTGAGTAGGGAGCTAGAGGAGCTGCCTCTTCTTCCTTAGCCTTTCACTAGCATTCTTTTTTTACTCAGAACATGAGTATTTTAAAAGAACACAGTTTTGCTCCTGAAAATATGATGCACTAGATCTCCTCCCAAACTCCCCCACTACGAAAAGGCTAAAATTAAGGCAAAAAAGATAAATATGATTTGGCCAGGTGCGGTGGCTCATGCCTATAATCCTAGCTCTTTGGGGGGGCCGAGGCAGGGAGATCACCCTGAGCTGAGGAGTTCACAACCAGCCTGTGCAACATGGCAAAACCTTGTCTCTACCAGAAGAAAAAAAAAAAAAACAAATAGCTGGGCATAGTGGCATGTGTCTGTAATCCCAGTTACTTGGAAGGCTGAGGTGGGAGGATTGCTTCAGCTTCAGAGGCAAGGTTGCAGTGAGCTGAGGTCATGCCACTGTGCTCCAGCCTGAAGCCTGTCACATAAAGCCAGACCTTCAAAGAGCTACATATTAAGAGAAACGGTAAGTTTAAAAGAAGAAATTTGCCAGTTATGATGTGAGGTCTGGGTAGAAAAATGCCTCCCCTAAGAGTTCATAATTTCAGGCCTCTTATCATATGGGTTTAGGGATTTATTTTAACTTATGGCCCGGGAATCTCTAAGCCAAGAAATGAAAGTTCTCCTGGGTCACCTGGCAGAAGTAAATGCATAACCTCTCTGGAGAGATGCAAATTTAGAGCAGATTTTCTAGTATCGCTCCAGGGAAAGACCAGTTGAATATGCTATATGATTCAAAATTATAAAACCTGTAAGGAAATAGACCGTGACTTATTGCATGACCAGAAGCATAGCGGTGCTTCTGACAAGCATGACTTCTCAGAAACAATAAACAAGAATCAGACCCACTGAGAATTTTACATATAATAGAAGTATTTGATAGAAAATTTAGTCTGTTTAAAATGCCTTTTTAAAAAAAGTGGGAATAAGGCTTGGTGTGGTGGCTCACGCCTGTAATCATGGTGATCAGCTCAGGGTGATCTGCCTGTAATCCCAGCACTTTGGGAGGCCGAGGTGGGCAGATCACTTGAGGTCAGGAGTTCACAACCAGCCTGGCCAACACAGTGAAACCCCGTCTCTAGTAAAAATACAAAAAATTAGCTGGGCATGGTGGCACACACCTGTAGTGCCAGATACTTGGGAGGTTAAGGCAAGAGAATTGCTTGAACCTGGGAGGCGGAAGTTGTAGTGAGCTGAGATTGCATCACTGCTCTCCAGCCTGGGTGACAGAGCGAGACTCCATGTTAAAAAAAAAAAAGTGAGAATAAAATAATTTTAGTAAGGAACGAAGTACCACCAAAAAATAGTAGGCATATTTGAAAGAACCTACTACAACTTAAAGAAATAAAATATAGTTGAAACCAAACCCCAGCTAGGCATGATGGCTCATGCCTGTAATTCCAGCACTTTAGGAGGCCGAGGCGGGTGGATTGCTTGAGGCCAGGAGTTCAAGACCAGCCTGGGCAACATGGCAAAACCCTGTCTCTATTAAAAATGAAA